TTGTCTGTCTGTCTGTCTGTCTGTCTGTCTGTCTGTCTGTCTGTCTGTCTGTCTGTCTTTCTCTATCCTTTTCAATTCACTTAAGGACAGTTATCGTGTCATTGCGCTTTTTCGTAATCAAACAAAACAAACAGACAAAGAATTGCTGTGATTGTGCTCTCTGTCGTTTTTCCCTCTTCTGTGAGATCCGCCAAGAGGTGCAGTTTTTCTAATTCCCGAAATAACACTAATGAACATGAGTCAATCGTGCTCGAGTCACAAGGGCTGAGCAAGCCATCCTGGGATATATTATATATATAACTTTTGTACGTGTCTTGGGAAAAGCCAGTGTGAGTCGCAGGAAAGTGTTCCTGGCTTGTCGTGTTCGTGAATGCTGTTCCAACGGACACTTAATAAAGAACATCGTTGCGTCTGCGGACAGTTTGTGTGTTACATACTACTTTACTTTTCCGATCCAGCGGCCAACTAAGTTTTAGTTCTTCGGAATCAGTTTGTATATAAAACATGTGATGCTTTGTGCATAAGATGAATGGTGTTTTCTTATTTGTTTTAGTAAGAGTTTTACGGAAATTGAAACACAGTTAGGTTATATGTGCTTAAAACCTGAGGTGTTACAAGATCGTAACAAGTACACACAAAAAAGGAGAGATAAGGATGATGACAAGTTTAATAGGATAGAAGGAGCGCACAACTCCAGAGCACATGCCAATTACCCACAGACGTTTATAAGGAACACTGTAGCCTCTGCGGACAGTTAGTATATATCTGACCCTCTGTTTGTTCGACGAACTGTACGTGAGCGGGAAACAATTTGTTTGTTCTTTTGTCGGATTTTCACGCGTTTGTTGACGATTGTTCCGCGACAACAGGGCTATGTCAATGATAGTCTACTTAAGCCTTCCTTTCAGAACTGACTTAGCCCACGACGGCTGTGTCAAAATTAACCACCCCCCCCCCCTAAAAAAAAACCCCGGTTATAACACAAATATATTTGTTATGATTGAGTTGCAACACTGCCGTCATTTTAAAAATAAATGCAGCATTTAGTTTTTACACTTTTACAGGAGGGCTGGAAAAAAATCAACAAAACGGAATGTTGTTATAAAGAAAAAAAACACGCAAAACAAACTCTATGCGAACGTCTCGTGTCACGATCAAAGTATCAAGAAAACGATTTTGATAATACTGTCTTTAAAGCAAATTTTGTTTTATTGGGAGCAACATTCAGATTTTTAGCTTTCACAAAGAGTTTATAAATGGTACTATTAATAATATAATCTCTTTTGGGCTCTCCTGTAAAATTGTGAACACTGCATATTTTGTATTTGTAGAAATGATGACAGAACTTATATACAGCTAGATTGCTAAACAATCACTTTATTTCTCTGAGTAGTCCACATGAACAGTCAAGTAAGCGTATTCCCCCATGTCGCTGCATGAGTGAAGTTATGATATCCCTGAGAATTTTGCGTCAAGTGACCGAAGTCAACCTCTGACCTGGTCCTCAAGGTTTATGTTATCAGAGATTTTCTTCTCGGATAGAAATCGCCGCAAATCCGAACAGATGGAATTCGACTGAATGGGCAAGGTCGATCAGGACTGTGATCCAATTAAAGCTTTCCGTAAGGTTCATGGAAGTCATCAGCAGACCCAATTACTGTTTTGATACAATTGAGACTTAGCGTTCACTGCACAGTCTACACAGCCCTAAATGACGTCAGAACTACCCTTCTCCCTCCGAGACCTAACATTGACAACACACTCTATGGAACACTACAACAACTGCAGCAAACCTGCACTAATCACTACATGGCATTGGACAGAAGGGCGAGAGCCCAGCTGCTGCTGGATCGATAACAACAACAACAACAACAACAACAACAACAACAACAACAACAACAACAACAACAACAACAACAACAACAAGACTTTGCGTTATTTTTAGACTGTGTTTAACGATAATAATAGTAAGACATCTTTTCTTTTATTGTGATTTATTCGAATCACCCTTGATGTGGCCTGAAATATGAATACCTCAATTCATAATCAATAATATTATATACAGAACTTAAAATCCAGTTCTTTTCCCAGAGCATAAAATTATTTTTGCAGATCTAACCATTTTGCCTTGTACCCACAAAGATCAGATTTATTCAGTACGCGATGTAAAGTTATTTACGCTCGGGTTGAGATAGTGTCCTCTTTAGTAGGAGAGTGCTTCACCGAATGTCATAAACTTTTATTTATTATTTTCTGTTGCCAGCCAGTTTACAACGGGGCAGCCGACGGGTCGTACCAACTGTGAGGAGTGAGAGAGAAAGAGAGAGAGAGAGAGAGAG